ATGGATTACCAAGTTTTTCTAAGGGTCTCTTGCAGCTCCAGGCCCTGAGGGGGATGAAATGTGGGACATGAGATAGGAGGGCTGGCTTGCTTGCTTGCCGGATGCCAGGCTGGGGTTCCTGCTCCATGCCGCTGAGGCACAGAGATGCAACCACAGGACCCGAGGGTCAGAGAGAGGGCAGGCTTCGCCGAGTTTTCAGAATCTAGACTCGAACCCAGGATTCATGTTTGCCCCTTCCTTCTCTTCGCCACTTGCTTTTGCCTCCTTGGTATGTTGTCTAATAGCCATCCCCCAGCAGGTCTCCTTTGGCAGTAGTGTGCCTTCTGGGGTCTGACCCCCAGTTCTTCCCCTCGCCAGCTGGGCCGCCATGGGAAGCTTACTCACATCCTCCAAGCCTTAGTAACTCGAGGATAAATTGCCCTTTGTAGATGATATTGGCACCGTGTTCATCATGGCTCCTGGCACAGGTGAAGCAGGAGCAGTTGTTATATTGATAATACTCTGTCCAGTACCCCCTTGTGCCTTGAGGGGACTCAGAGGAAGTGGGAGGCACAGCCCTGGCCACCAAAGGCTTGTAACTGGCAGAAGATCTGGCAACCATGACACACTCAGAGGACACACCCCTACCCCTCCAATCCTGGAGGCTGAGTTGGCCTCCCTTCCCATCCCCTTGATGCCCATGCCATCACCCAGAACCCGAGTGTCCCCACAGCAATCCAGAAGGATTTCCCAGGTATGTCCAACTGCACCTGTCCTCTCTGGGCCCTGGGAGCCCATTGTTTTCTTGCAATGTCTGCTTGTGTCCTTCTTATACCTGCCTTTCCCCAGATCACCAGGTGGGCAGCCAGGGAAGCTTTCTTGGAGGGCTCAGCAGGGGCGAAGGACAGGGCATGGTCAGCCGTAGGGTCGGGAGGCTGTCCTTCCTCCGCTTTCCCTCATCCTGCTTCAGCTACCCTTTGCTGGTGGGCACCACACTGGACTTGGACTCTTGTTCTGAGGCCAAATCCTGTTCCTTACACATAGAGTGGCCTCCACTGTTTTTGCTTATGCCCAAGTTCAAATTGCCTATGTTGCCTTGCCTTCAGTGCCAGGACCATGGCAAGTAAAAGTCTGCAAGAGGATGCAAAACCTTCATTCCCAGAGGCCTTTGCAGTAGGGCTGTCTCAGTTCAAAGGCAGGAACACAGACTTATTGCCTGTGTCTGGGATGGGCTCTTTCTGGGGTTTGAGTCCAGTCCAGGTTCATGGGGGAATGAGAACCCTGGATTTCGGTCACTGTGGGGATCAGCAGGCCCAAGTCCCTGAGGCCACACCTCGAGAGGACAGCCGGGCAGAAGGATGAGGAATCCTGCTTTGTCCCAGCAATTCCTCCAACCTACTGTGTTACTCTGGAACAGTGATTTTGTATCTCTGAGCCTCAGTTTCCTCACTTGTAAAGCAGGAGTGCCCATCTCCGGGGGCAGCTGGGATGATTCAGTGAGGTAATATATGTAAAGTGCTTCCAGAAGTCAAGATTAAGTAAGGTGTCAGCCTTAGGTGGCTGACTTGAGTGGTGGGAAAGCAGCAGGCTTAAAATCAGGAGCTCCTGGCTCCAGCCCTGCTGTGTGACTTTGGGCAAGACCCTTCCACTCTCTGGGCCTCCCCAGTGTGAAAAGAGGGCATTGGAGTTACCCTTCACTAAGGTGCTTTCTTCTTTGAAGATTCTCTGATGGGAACATCCCATGGGAGTTCTGGGCGGGACAGAGGAAAGGGTTTGTGGCAGGGACCGAGCGCCCAAGTACTGGCTCAACTCAGACCAGAGACATGTCCTTCCCAGATGCTGTGGATGCCCTCTGCCCCTTGGACAGTCATGATTCAGTGAGTCTGGGGACAAGGGAGGCTGTCATTTAGGATCCCATTGCATCCAAGGCAGGTTGCCTGGTACCATTAACCCTCAAGCCGCTGCCCCCAGGAGCCTAATTAGATTTTATCCCTCGCTCAGCTGTGTCCATGTTCCCCGTGTTCATGACACTGCCAGGCACGCCAGGATTTAGGGCCAATCGCTTGTTTATCAGACCGTCTGTCTGTCTCCGGGATGAGGCCCAACAGGCACAGCCAGAGAACAAATAAGCCCTCCCCGTTCAGCTTGGAACCTGATGGCAAAAATCATTGTTATTCTGAGCAGCATCCTCCCCCATCCTGATGGAGAGCGTGGGTCTTAGAGTCAAGCAAGCCCGGGTGTCAGTTCTGGTTCTGAGACCTTTCTAGCCTTTGGAGACTTATTATCATCGTTCCCTTTACAGAAGAGGAAACTATTTTGCAGAGTTTTTTGGAGGACCAGGTAGGATAGTTACAGGTAACTGCCCATGGCACAGTGCACTGTCATTGGGGCCTAGTGGATATCAGTCCTGCCCTGTCGTCCCCACACGTGGGCCTCCCAGCTCCTAGGTTCCCCCCCAGGGCTTGTTTCTCTCTGCTGCTGGGTATAGCCAAAGCACTAGGTTGATGTGGCTGTTAATACTCCTCTCAAAGTACCAGGTTATTGCTTCTCACTAGACTTGAGTGAGTCCTGGGTCTCCATGCCTTGGAGCGAGCCCGGGGCTGGCACTAGTAGGTGTCTGGTGCACACAGGAGGGAAGGAACTGGATGTGCAGCCGCTAAAGTGCTTTCACCAACATCATCTCCTTCGCTTCTCAATGACCCTGGGAGTTAGATTGAGAAGCCCCACGGCACAGATGAGGAAACATAGGCTCAAGAGCTGAGGAGGTGGCCCAGGTCTCTCAGCTTGTTGGGACAGAATCCCTGCTGGTTGGAACTCAGGTTATTGTGAGGCTGCTCCTGCACCACAGCGCCCTCACCTGGCAGGGGTGTGTACAGGACTTTTCTCGCTCCAGCAGCCCAGATCTACATTTGCTTCCTCTGATGGGGGCTTCTCCATGGCTCATGCCCTTTCTCTCTCTCCAGAAAGCATGCCCAGGGGCTGGGAGCAGTGAAAGTAAAAGGAGTGATTTATGAACTGAGCTGTTCTTCTTAATCAGAGAACCCCTCCCAGGCCCACTCTGTGCAGATGGGATTGAGGCGCCATCTGGGACAGTGGGAGGGGCAAGATTAATAAAGCTGTCTGGCCCTGGCAGGGGCCTGCAGAGGAGAACCCTGAGGCGCTGTGTGACCTCGCCCGTCTCTGCCCTCTCTGGGCCTCAGGGCTCCCATCTGTCAAGGGATGGCAGGATCAGGTCATCCCCCAGAGGCCTCTAGCTGGTACAAGGAGGATGCTAGCCAGTTCCCTGGGACTCTGCCTTTTTGCCTCATTCAGGGCAGAGCTCTTTCTGGTGTTCTCTCTCTGGTACCACACCCACAGACTGGTGTTTTGTCCGGAGCTCTGGTTTGGAGTCCAGCAAACTTGGGCCTGAATTATGGCCATGTCTTCCTAACCATGTGAATAAAGTCAGGCCAGTTAATTGCATCCTCTGAGCCTCAGTTTCCTCATCTGTGAAATGAGATAATGCACCCACTTCCTAGGTGAGGATTAAATAAGAGAATGCAGGAGAAATGCTTAGCATAGTCTGCTACATGGTAAACGCTCAATACTATTAGTTATCATTAGGTTCAGTTATCACAAAACTATAAAAATTAATTTGCATTCAGGGCCCTTTTGGGAAAAGATGTTTCTACCCATCCTGAGCAAGATACATGCCCGTGGTTCTCTCCCACGTGCACCTCCATTGGTAACTGGTGGATGTGGTTTGAGCATCCACTTATTTCCAACTGCTGAAGATGCTGGTAATAATAGCTGCCCATGGCCACTGTGCTTTACAGGTTTCTACGTGTTTTCATATTATAGCATTTCATTTTATGTTTCATATCATGAGTTTCTACAACCACCTTTGGCTTCAAAACTGAGAATCACAGTTTTCAGAGGAGAACCCAGCAACTCAGTGACTTTCTAAAGGTCTCATCAGAGAGCTGGCCCAGGCAGGTGCTGCCCAGACCCTGCAGAAGCAGCGGGGATGGAGAGAGCATGGATGGGCATGAATGGGAAGAAGGAATCTGAACTGGCACCTGAGATCCAGAAATCCTCCCGGTCCTTCCCATGGGGATGCTCACCGCAGCCCAAGCTCCCCCAGGCCTCAGATTTTCCCTGGAACTTGTCCTCTGGCCTAGTGTTTGGGCGGGACCTGGCTGTGGACTTCCCCAAGAGTGTGGTAGAACAGGACTTTCCACCTGGGCCCGTTTGCCGAAACCAAACCTTCATTTCCACTGCTGGGAGCTAACTCTCTAAACCAGGGCTGGGGAACATCTGGCCCACAGGCCGTATACAGCCCACGAAATCATTTGCTCTGGCCCTGCCAAGGCAACCGCAGGCAGGACTCGAAATTCAATAAATCTAGGAGCTTTTTTCATAGCTAATTTTTAAGTTGATAATTTTGTATGGCCCACAAATTATGTTATAAATATTCAAATGGCCCTTGGCAGAAAAAAAGTTCCCCACCCCTGCTCTAAAAGGATCCTTCTGGCAAATCCTTATGCAAAGCTAAGGAAACCTTTTCAACAGCAGATTTCTCTCTTGGGAGATAGGTTCCTGGGGAGGGTGTTTGATGAATAGGGCCCTGCTGGCATTCTCTGCTGGGGCATCACTGCAGATGCCCAGATGGCATCTATGTGGTATCCAGGTGGATGGACCACCCATGCCCCTTGTCTCTTCTCAGCTCCTCAGCCACATGCAGCGTGGTAGCTTAGATGAAGCCATGCGAGAAACTGCATGTCCTTTGAAGATGTGGTTCCCCACATGGCCCCAGCAAGGGCACCTAGAGCTGCCATCTGGGCAGAAGGTGGGCGTCCCATGCAGGCCGCCTCAGCTGGAGGGGCCCAGGTGCTGAGGGCTTTTCATTAGCCCTAATGGGCCCAGATTAGCGAGGCACTTGCCCTGAGTGTATGTCCGGGGGGCAGGTTTTCATAAACTGCTTCTTGAACGTGACTGCTCCTTAATGACTTCCTATAGTAATTGAATATTTTCTCTTACAGGACAAGCTGGGCCAATAAAAGAAATACACAGCAGCCCCTTGGGCCAGGAGACGTCCTCTTGCTGACGCCTAAAGAACTGCCCAGGTGACAAGTCAGCAATTGCCTCCCCCTCACTCTGTGTCCCTCTGCCCCACCCCCTGACCCTGTTGCCTCTCGCCCTCAACTCTTTGTCTCTTCCTGTATCACTTCTCCCTCGCTCTCTTTCCCTGTCTTTCTCCATCTTTGTCTCTTTCTAATTTGTCTTTGTCTGTTTCTCTGATTTGCTGACTCTATTGTCCTCTATTTCTATTTTCTTTTCCCACCATGCATTCATTCATTCATTCATTCAGACGTATTCATTGGGGACCCACCATGTGCATGTGCTGCTCTAGATACTAGGACCATGGCAGTAAACAGAACAGTCCATGCCTTTGTGAAGCATACATTCTAACAGAGGAAGATGGGTGCTACCAGAGAAAATAAGTGAAACAAGTCTGTAGTGTGTCCACGGGCACTGGCCTGGGCTTCAGGAAACAGGGCTCCAGTTTCAGATCCCTCACTAATTGGTTTTGCAACTTGGCCAAACCCTTTCCCTTCCTCAGCCTCAGTTTTCTCATTTCCAAAGTAACGGTGTTGGGCCAGATCAGTGCTGCCCTGACTTTTTATGACCAAGAACTTCTTTTATTGAAATACTGATGACATAAGTTATACAAGAAATCAACACTTATACAAGCAGCAGTGTCAAATAAAAGCCTCCCTTAAATCCCCTTAAAGTTGTCAAACACCTGCCTTTGTTATATAAGCAACAATTGGTTGCATCTGGAGGTGGGGGGGACAACCATCTGTAAGCCCGGAACCCTCACTTGGCCAGGTGCGGGACACAGGAGCTTTGACACGTGAGATCCACAGCAGCAGGTCCAGGGCTCCAGGGCAGAAGCCTCCGAGCGCAGCACCTAAACTGCTCTGCTACACGTGTTCCAGGTGCACGTGGGGAGTTGAATTCACACAAAGTCACATTCACCTGTGATGCTGACTCCTGCCTTTCGTCCCTCTGAGCCCCAAGACTTAAAGGATTTTATCTACCAAACAGCTCTGCCTTTTCAGTCATTTGTTAAGTGTACGTTAACATTCCTCCTTAGTTTTTATAGTGCATAGTCATACATACCTGGTGGCCAGAGCTTCTGAAGAACCTGAGAAACAGGGTCCCCCACCCTGGGGTGGTTTACTTGCTCTAAAACCCAAGACACTTGCCTGGCCAATAGTGAGGGCATGTTCCCACTCTCCTTAGAGGTAAATTAGGGGACTGTGTGGTGATGCTAATTCCAAAAGGCTCTGTGGGTGGGTGGAGCTGAGAGCCAGGCCCAGGTAGGGATTGGAGATTCCATGTGTCTGTCACTCTTGTTTGGCCAGTTGGCTGTAGAGGTGTGTCCCCATGATTAGAAGCCCCTTGTGGGAGTAGGGCAGGCAGGCCTGGGTCTTTTGACCAGCCTGGCAATAGATAATGAATGGCCCAGGGGGCTGTTTCCCCTGGACAGTGGGAAATAAATTGGCATAGGAGGTGTGGAGACAGGCCTGAATTTTGGAGGACAGATGAATGAGGAAGGAATTAGCATTTACTGAAAATGGTGATTAAGAGTTGTGGCTCCAGATTAAGACAGACCTGGGTTCAAATCCTAGCTTAGGCACTCCCATGCTGTGTGATCTCAGATAAGTGATTCCACCTCTCAGAGCCTCAATCCTCTCACCTGAAAAATGGAGATGATATTACCTGTATCCTGGAGCTTTATAAAGAAGGAGATTGTGCATGTTTCTTCACACAGAGTAAGAACTCAAAGTCGGCCAGCTGTTATCAGCTGTTGCTGTTATTAGCTATTATGTGCCAAGCCCTGTGCTGGGCACTTCCCATGCATTATCAGGAAGGCACTATTTTTACTAATTTTAAAGACAAGGAAACTCAGTTGCATGCAGTTTGGGAACTGACCCCAGGCCACCAGCTAAGCCTGCCAGATCTGAGATGATCCACTGTCAGGCACAAAGCCCTCTTTCTGCCTGGAGCTGGAACCCAGGTCCCCAGATCTCCATCCACCTTCTAGCTCACATAATCTGTTTTTTCTACCTGCCTCACTTTCAAGGTTGTTGGAGGCTCTTCCCAGTAGACGTGTCCTTTTATTGCATTTGTCTGGGAGTCCAGCACTCCACAAGCCGCCCATTCAATGTAATCTGTAGTGAATGTGGGACATAATAAATACAGGTAGCCCATTTATGAGCTGCCATATTTATTATGCCCCTTAATTGCTAAATTGCTAGAGCCCACTGAAAACTGGATCCTACCCTGGAGAGCAGCTTTGCCTGGGTGGGCAGAGGGGAGGAACTCTAGAGCCTGGCCTCCTGTAGACTTCTCAGCATCTCACAGGGGCCAACCTTCTGTCCTCCAAAGCCCCATCCAAGCCTGAGCCTGACAGAGGAAGAGCCTGGGCTTGGGGATGATGGTGTTTAACACCTGGTAGGCACTAGCATGGGCCAATCAGAAGAGATGCTGGCCAGACAGCAGGCCAGCCGTGCCCCTAGGTTCCCACTGAATCTCAGCCCTCCCAGTGACCACCAGGACGATGGGGCCGGAACACAGGCAAGGGTAGGTGCTCCTGGTCCCACCCATCTTCTCTCCAGGGCTGTTATGAAGAAAGGGTGAAAACACAATAGTGAATATGAACATGTCTTGTGCACCTTGAGGTCTAACTTGTGGTAGCAGATGCTTTCTGCTTCTACTGGGGACGGGGAAGGGCTGCATCTCACTGGCTTCAGGCCCCAGGGCCTGGCTTCCAGTTGATGTACAGTAGATGCTGGCTGAATAAAATTGTATTCGGTGACTCACTACCATGGGCATGTTTTCAGGTAGGGACAGGGAGGGCTCCTGGAGGAGGTAGAATGCTGGAGGTGGCATGTTGGAGGTAGTCAGGGCATGGGGAGGGTCTGGCCCCAGGAGCAGGGCTTGGGCCCCCCACCTAGGTGCCCTCGCCTATTTTCCCTGCAACACCCCTCCTCGATGGGCAGTCCTTCAGGCTGGAGGGAGTGTACGGTGGTGGAAGCTTCTCAGGCCTGGGTTCTTATCCTGACCAATGACCTTGGTAAGTCTCTCAAGGCTCTGAGCCTCAGTTGCTGATCTTCCAAATGGAAGATTCACCTTAGCAGTCAAGTAATATCGTCACGTAGCATCATTGAGTCCTAGCCACGTGCTGGGTGTCACGCTAAGCATGTTACTGCATTATTTCAATTCATCCTCAGCAGTGCTTGGGAGGAAGCTTCTGTTTTTAACTTCCATTTTCAAGTTGGAGAGGGCAAGATTCAGAGATGTAGATTAATTTGCCCAAGGCCACACAGCAATGGTAGACATGAGCTTGAACCTCAGGCATGCTGGCCCCCAAGTTCTCACTCCTAACTCTGGCCCCACAGGACAAAGTGCCTTCCTTGGGGGAGGAAGTGTTATAAGCTTCCCTCTTCCCCCTCCCACTACAAGGGCAGGCTGGCCTCTGGGACCCCCACCCCATGTGGGAGATTGGGGAGCAGGGTTTTTTCTGGGTGGGGTCCCCCAGTGGGAGGACTGAGGACCCTTGCTGTTTTGTAGGTGGAGCATCATGGAAGGCGACTGTCTGAGCTGCATGAAGTATCTGATGTTTGTTTTCAATTTCTTCATATTTGTAAGTATTCCTGGAACATGCCTAGGGTCTCCCTAGCCAATACTGAGTGGACAGAACTGACTGCTGCTTAGAAATAGTCACAGTGGGCTGACGTAAGAAGCAGATCTACCTGCCCAGCCAGGATTTCCTGATGGGAGGTCCCCAGCAATGCCCGCCCCACTCCAAAGAGCCCACTGTCCTAGGAGAGACATTTTGCACAGACCTAGGATGGTCCAGCAACTGTCTTGGATTCCCTCCCCTCCCCCATAATTCTGAAGAACAGGGAGCCTGACAGACTTGAATTCTAGACCCAACTTCCAAGCTGGGTGACCTCAGGTAAGTCCCAGTGGTGGGGCTGGTTCACCTGGGCAGCTCAGTCTGTACTCAAGCCCTCTTTGCAACAGACCTCAGCACGCAGTTATCAAACCCCAAACCTCCACCAGTCATGAGGAGGGACACAGGTTGTACTGGAGTCTGGTCATGAGACCAGTGACAGAGGGCAAAATTGTAGCCTCTGTCATTGACTGTCCCTGTTGGTTTCCCCTTTCTCTCTCCCACTGCCAGATCCCTCCAGTCTCTCCACCCTACCCCTGCTCCAGTTGTACCTAAAATATCATCTCTTACCCCAAACTGTGCAGCTCTTCCCTGCAGCTTGCAGACCCCTCTTAGCCAAGCCAGAGCTCAGCAGTTTGCTCTTAGCCACCATCTGTCATTCCTCAGGTCCTCTCACCACACAGGGATTTCAAACACTTTACAGCCTTCAAAAGCCAATGATGCCAAACTGGCTCTTCTGCAACTGATCTGCTTCCAATACTCATCTGTGCCCAGGACAAATAGAATGGATATTTATTGAGACCTGCTAAGAACATTCACATCCATTCTGCCCTTTTTTCCTCAGGGCCACCTTGAGAGGTGGGAATTGGTATCTTTTTTTAACCAGGAGGAAGCTGAAGTTCAGAGAGGTTAAGCCACTTACCCAAGGTCACACAGCTAAGTAGAACCACAGCTCTTTCTCTGGTCTATGATGCCTCTCTCCAAAGATGAGTAAGGCATGGAGAGATGGACCATGCAGGTGAAGACATACACACGAAGGCTTTTGAGGTGCACATTTGGGAGTGGGGAGCCCAACCTGACTGAGAGCTCCCGTTGGGAACAGAGAGGATGGATTTTGTCTGCATTTTCCTGTCCCTGGCAGGATGCAGGCACAGTGCAGGTGTCAATGTTCTTGGAGTTTGGTGAGTGTCCTTGGGGCTGGAGTCAGGGAGGCCAGGGTTCTGCCTCGAAATTGCTGTGTGACTTTCAGCAAGTTGTCGGCCCCCTCTGGGGCTCAGTGTGGAATCCAAGGGGTGGACTAGATGACTTCACCATCCTGCAGCTCTGACATTTAAGGAAAATTTTAAAATGGCAAATAAACTCCACATGACATGGTTCTCAGCAGGCCGAGGTGGGACCTGGGGCAGAGACTGGGTTAGATGATGTGTGCTGCTCTTAAGGTCACACACAGTAGTAGGAAGACTCGAAGCAGCGACAAGCGGTGCTGGGACACGGGCTCCCGCAGCAGATAGAGGTCCTGCCCGGCTCGCCAGGGCTCACTGCCTCCGCCCGGGACCTGGCTGTGGAATGTGTATGGAGTATCTGATGTCTAACCTCCGTTTCTGCCTGTTTCTCTCCCTGCCACCCATGGACCTGCGAGCAGCTGGGTGGGGCCTGTCTCCTGGGCATCGGCATCTGGGTGATGGTGGACCCCACGGGCTTCCGCGAGATCGTGGCTGCCAACCCCTTGCTCATCACGGGCGCCTACATCCTCCTGGCCATGGGGGGCCTCCTTTTTCTGCTCGGCTTCCTGGGCTGCTGCGGGGCCGTCCGGGAGAACAAGTGTCTGCTGCTGTTT